CTGGGCAGGAGAATAAGTCGCGTGGGGAGGGCGCGGGCGAGCAATCATCACGGTGGCAGTGAGCCAGTTTGCCGAGCAATCGTCACACCAGCATTCAGCACGGATGACGAAATCGCGGCAATTAACGACTCGGACTCGAACCGACAAGCCACCACCGCATCAATTACGGCCCCAGCGGTGATTGCGAGAACTGTTAATTGCAATGCGCATACGGTCCTACGGCAGCCACGTGCTATAAATACTGCAATCCTGGCGCCACCATTACCTTTATCTGCGAATGTCTCTGATGATGGATTTGAGTGAGAGTCCGAAACGTCAGGCAAATAAATTTCTTGTTCCAGTGATCGCATCTTCATCTTCTGAACTCCTTTATTAAAAATATCATTGAATTGGAAGCTCGGGGACCAGGTTTTGCCCGAACTTTTTAACTGTGTCCGCCACTACGTCCGGGCCGACCTCTGTTCGTCACGACTTGGTCTTGCCACCGGAATGCAGAAGGGTGTGGGAAGATAGAGTGAGATGGATTCAGAGCAAGACTGCCTCATTATAAAAAATTAATGTCCAGTCGCCCTTGTTCTTGTTGGTAATGCTATTCTGCCTATATTACACGCCGCTGTGCGGCTGCAGCCGGGGCTCGAGAGAGAGAGAGAGTCCCAAGGCACAACGGGACGAGAAAGTTGCGTAGCCCGATCAGTGACAATGACGGGGTCCTCATTGTTCACGACGAGTGATACAGTAGGTGACCTATCTGGTGAAAAGTGTGGGAATTTACGAATTATTGTTAATCACTCGCAAACCGACACAAAGGAATGGACCCAATATCTATATTAATAAGCAATGGCCCTAAGGAAATTGAACTGCTTAAAGAAATATTAAAGGCATTAATGCGTTGATAAGAAATACCAAAATTTTGAAGAAGCGGAAGGTTCCGAAAACGTTTAAAATGCTTGTGAATGAGTAAATTTCACTTTTAGATGCACAGAAAGCCTGTCCATGCAAAATCTGTGTACATATAACAGCACAAATGGAATGGCGTTTAACGGTAGTGTTTTAATGAAGTTTACATTAAAATGTCTTTTAGGAAACCAGTGTAATGTCCGGTATGGCGGTTTGCCAACAGCCCACGTCCGGAGTGTAGATTTCTAGTCGGTTTCTCGAGAATTATTTGTGTATTTTGCTTGTGCATTAATTGAGATGCTATTTACCAGGACAAACGGGATTTTGCGTGATTTCGCTGATAGGGACTTCATAGGGATAAAAGTTTTCATAAAGTCATGTTGCCTGGCCATTCAGTGACTAATAAATCGCCATAGAATTGACAGGTGTCATCGTAGGTATAACATCTTATGCATATAACGAAAGATTTTCTTCCCTAAAATAATTTGCACTTTTTGTTTGTTCATGATTGCGTTGAATATCAGATCACCCTGAAATAATGCTGGATACTTCATGATTTTCAGTGTTTTCAATGGACTGCCCATAAGGATAGATTATGTATTAAATACTTCTTGAAGACATGTACCTAAGCAGTGAACGCTCAGGCGTTCTTTTTCATATAGATGGTAATTTTGGTCACATATGAAGACTCACCCAAATATGAAACCTTATTGTCGAATAAAATGAGCGTCCGCACCAAAAGTCAACAACGTATATGTTTTCAACCAATTATAAAACTTTCTCAAATGGGCCGATTATTTAGTAATGTTTATTTTCGCTCAAGCTTGTGAACATTTCGCCTGATTAAATTGCGCAGACACATTTTCTGTACAATAAAGGACATTTACTTGAAGGAGTTGGACGAGCGAGCAAAATGCGCAGCATTTAAGGTGCTTAAAAATTCTCATATCAGTTTCTGTCAACAAGTTTCGTGATTTGGGTCACGGGCAGTATATTGCTTTGTTAATGGCAAGGATGGAGAGGGAAGAGAGAGAGAGTGAGTGAAGCGCAATGTCTCAGCGCATATTCCTCACTATAAACAATCTGTCGCTCTTTTGAACCAACATGGTGCACTAAAAAACCATGACTTAAGGGGCTACGTAACTCTGTCGTGTCTGGAGGGCGAGCTAAACGGCAATGAATCATTCTGAGTATGGCCTCTATGGTACCGCCATTCGGTTGGAATCCGGGCCGACCCTCTCTTGTCTATGCGAACCACTGATCCTCTTTCCACGCAAGCGAGGAGCGTGGGGCACGCGTACACGGGCTGGTTAGCTTTTTCAACCACTTTGCCTAATCCCTATTTTGATTTTCTTGACTCTGTCTTGACGCCAGGCTGAGATGAGTGGAGGAGAAGTGAGTGCTGCAGATGCAGTGCAAGCCTATTATCACTTTAAAATAGCTCGCGCGCAAGTTGCCCTTCCTGTTCTCACCCTGCTGTGCAGCACACAGTTGACATCGTCGGCAACCACGGTAGAACTATCGTGTGTGTGTGCGTGTGTGTGTGTGTTTGCCTCCCAAAGGGGCCACGTGTTAGATGCGCTGGACAAACACGGGGGCCACATCGTATACTGGCAGGCGTTATCTGTGCGCAATAACAAATGCCATCATCTAGGGGGTGCGCTGGCAGTCTCTGTTGTCGACAGTCGTCGCACAACTGTAATCACTGTCACACCCTCCATTGTTGTGGCAGTCAAAATCCTGGTCATTGTTGTGTGGACCAGGGGGTGTGGAGTGGAGCGCCAAGGCGAGGATCCGTCCGAGCCATCCACCTGCGGCCTCCCCCGTCTCCGGTCTTCTTGACTCTGTCTTGACACCGGGCTCAGGCGGGGGAGGAGGAGGAGAGAGTGTAGGTAGATGCTACGCAAGTCTACTGGCACTATAAACCCCTGCGTAAGTCACCGTCCCTGCTCACACAAGGCGGTCTGTGGGGCACACGTTGGACATCGTCGAAATCGATGGTTGAACTGTCGCGTGTGTGTGTGTGTAAGAGTGGACATTATCTCGACCTTGCATGCCGTCTGCACAGAATGAATAGTTGCTACTCTCTATTACTATTATGGTTATTGTAGACTTTGAAATGTTTCATCTGCGAAAAAGACTGTAGTACAATATCATATCTCACCGTTTCTGGCATAGATCCGTCAGCCTCGGGCAGTAAACTCCCGTCTGCAATTGCAGCCAAAAGGTCCATTTCGTTGTTGAATAGAGGATAACTGTCAGAAAAGGGGATATTACGGCCCCAAATTTCGTTTATCATGATTCCCAGGCTGTACGTATCGACGGATTGGTCCAGAGCATGTTGAAGTGGGATTTCCTCTGGACAAAGGGCCACCCTCTCCTCCCCCTCCTCCTCGTCCGTGTCCAGGTCACTTTCTTTTGTCTCCAGCTCGTCATCCTCACCCGGTTCCATCTCCTGCCGTGCCAGCACAGCTTGAACGTAAGGAAGCTCCTGCAGAAGACATTCGGGGGGTCGCCATCGCAAAAGCATGACTGACTGGTTGTCTACATTGTCCAGATACCTATGCATCGTGTTGTGCTCATGAATAAGTCGCAGCTGCTGCAGATAGGCACGAAGTCGACAGGGCTTGTAAAGATCATGTGCGTGGAGACAACCCTGGCGTTCTAACCTTTCCAGCGAATGCCAGTCACCAATCTTAATGGTGAAATTGTGATCAAAGTAACAACACTGGGAGTTCAGCTTCCCATGCACTATGCGCTTATTGTGCAGATACTCCAGACCTGAGACCAGAGAAGAGATCAGAGGCAACTTCAACTCCTCCGGAAGCGGCAGGCTGGAACAGTGGAGGAAGAAGAAGAGGCTGTCTCTGGAACACTGCTCCATCACAGCGTAATACATTGAGACCTCGGGACCAGCGAGGGCGAAGCTGTACCGCTCGGAGAACTGATCGCCCGCGGAGAAGCCAAAGCGTGTGTTTTGGTTTTCGTTCAGACAGTCCCGCTTCTCGGAAAGATCTGCCAGCCCGTAGAAGCGCTGGACATTGCGATGAACCAGTTTTCGCAGCTCGACTAAACTCCTACGAGTGTCGTAGTCGAAGTCAGTTGAGAGCTGGAGCTGTGTAGGCTGAAGAGCCACGCTGACAGATTTGTAGATAGCAAAGACCACCTTAGAGTCATCTGCGGCAGCTGAGTAGGAGGCCGCTGGAGACGTGGCTACGCTGACAGTCCCATCACTACCACAAGTAGTTGGGAGCCTGGGAAGTTGGGCATCCGAGCTGACGGAGGATCGTGCCTGGGTGGCATAGGCGGGGACAATGTCTAGCTCAGTGATGCGCCAGACATCCTTCCGCACCTCTGTCAGTTCATTGAACATGCGACGTACTAGCATCACACCAAGCACGAGGACTGTGATAGCGAAGCAGTTGCCCGCAACTGTCAGGGCTGTTTGAATGTCCAGATCTGAGTTCTCGCCCGCGTCGCCTTTGAAGAGGCGAACAAAATCGCTGACAGTGATGAGGTCACCGCGGTGGAGACACTTTATCTGATTCAGCCAGTCCACGTAATGAGAGGTGTTTGCCGAATTCCGCAGGCCTCCATTGGCCCTTATCGTGATGTCCGCTTCCGGCGACTCGAGGACCCATCGACTGAACTGGGCCACCTCAGAGGCTAGGGTGCAAATATTAGCGTGGGGCAGGAGCAGGTCCTCATCCGGTAGGTCACGACCACTGCCGTGATAGGCGGTAAAATTCCTTGGGATAACCATGTAGAGCAGCGTTACAAAGGGGTATGGTCTCGACTGGTTTACGTTGGCCGATGGGTCTTCAGGAGGTGGAGGGGTAGGTTGGGACTCCTGTTGTATTTGTGCTTTCACAGAATCGGTTGAGGGCGTTAGCTCGTAGCCCTGCTGATCTATCAGGTTAACGGTGGCCAAGTCATAGGAGGCGGCTTCAGCGATTGAGGTAAAGGCGATGGAATTGTACACGGCCCGCGGAATAGCTGCCAAACCGTTCACACGGATGGTGAAACAGAAGCGCTCCCTAGCGGAATGCTCGCCCCATGTACAGACCTCCACGTCCTCCCGTCCCATGTCATTCAACCGGTCTTCAAAGTTGGCTGGGCTGTTTAGGCTGCTGTAGCCGATCACGGTGATAGATGCGCGGGGTAGCGTCAAGTCTGCAGCCGCAAAAAAAAGAGAGTAGAAGAAGGCAACAGTGAGACCTTAGGTGCCAATGAGACCCACGGTCAGGAAACTGTGCTATTTCTGGTGTCGCTTTGTTTTAGGGAATTGGGGCGCTCCAATTGTCCTTTCGTTTAACAAAACGGTAGCAATGACAGGCAAAGACGTGGAAGAGCACGGGCGTGTGCCGCCTGAACTATCCCCTTAAAAAGTGCCTCGTTATGTTTAAGAACATGTTTATAGCGAAAATGCAACTTTCCCTTTTTATACGTTCAGGAGCACTACTTTTCCTCTCATCGAGGCCTCCTACCACCGCCACCAGCTTTCCCATATTGTAGTTGACTTTGCGGCATTTAATCAAGAAAGTAGTGGTGTTATGGTTTCTTTATTTTCTATATTTAAGAACACCACGTTGCATCTCACGAAAGGATCATTCCTGCATTGCAGGCTGACTTTGCGTTGTGTTTCGGGGGAGGGGGTACACATATCCGTGTGTCCAACCCACGCACACTAACAAGGCCCTAATCCAAAATGGATGCTCTAAATATTTTAATTTTTCTCGGCGTAAACATCGATGGGTAGGGCTGACATGGGAAGAGAAACCGCCTGCAATACGGGTGGTATTCAGTCAACTTAGGTTAAGGTTGCGGTTAGGTTAAGGATTAGGTCTAAGGCTAGATTTAAAGTTAGCGGCAAAGTAAGTCCAGATCGAGTTTAGAATTAGGGTATGGGCTAGTGTTAACTGCAGAGTCAAGGTTTGGTGTAGGGTTAGGGTCAAGATTAAGGCAACAGTTTAGTTTTATATTAGGGTAATGGTTGGGGTTATAGCATGGAAGTATTTTGCTCTTCCCAGAATTACGCGCAGGTTCACCTTTATTACTTGAGCGGAGTGTACCTATTTCAATATCGTGTTTAGGGGGCCACATAAATCATCCTACCCAGCGATAGATTGGAATGGACTGTGTTGAGGTATCGGACTAATTTACATTTGACAATTTAGTCCCGTTTTCTTTGCCCGGATTGCTTGTTTAAATGTGACGAAAAACAACACACCTGCACAACCCGATTCGCTTGTCTGTTTAGCTGTCGCGCTCTGTTGTCAGGCTACTTAATGTTCAGAATTTCTATATTATTCCCTGGTCGATTTTACTTGCTGCCTTTAATGCTAAGGGCCCGTGAGATATAACTCGTTAGTTCGTGAGAACATTACTTTTGAGATATCTACCTCACCTGTTCTTCTTACATGGGTCACGTTTCAACGGTGGGCAAAGTCAAGACGCCCGGCGATGGACGTTGGCTCCGTACTTTACCAAGCATTCTCCGTCGAGTAGGCTTAAAGCACATGTACTGGTTCCTCACACCACCAGGAACAGACTTTATTAGGGTGAATAACACAAAATTTGGAAGTTGCAACAACGTCAAAGTAGGAAGGGACCATTGACACCCAACCCTCCGTTTGAAGTCAGAAGGTAGAGCATGTCATTTGGGACCAGTTGCAGGGTAAATGGTATGGAAAAAGACCCCATTTTACTGCCGGTAGATCGTGGATCTTGTCATAAGTGATTGGTGATAAGGAGAGTTCTACGGGTGGGGTAGCGCACTAGACAGTAAGCTGACGAAATGCAGGAAAACACAATAACTGTTTGGATTTTTCCTGAAAGACTCATCGTACGCTTTCGTATGACAACGGAAATGAGCGCAGCAATTGAAAATAAACAAAAAATAAATTCCGAAAAATGAAGAAGTTTGAGTGATAGTTTGAAGTCATGGGGAAGTGACTGTTATTGGCTTTGTAATTTTATGCAAAAGCCTGCGAATGGATGCCAAGGTAACAGCACCTATGACGTGATTCACAGACTGCCGACAGTAAAGTGGCGTCCTTCTCCATACCGTTGTCCATTAACGGATGGCTGACTTCAAAATACTCACACCTTCAGGTCTAATAAACAAGAAATCGTGGGCAGTATGATGATGCTACCGCCGGACCTGGTTGAGCAGTGAGCTAGCAAATTGATTATTTGTGAATATAAAGGCGAAAGAAGACCTGACTAAACGTACTCGGATTTAAGGCCCTTATCCTAATGTCATTCCAGAAGATTATACGTCGTTGAAATATGCCCCACACAACCGTTTCAGACAACGTCAGAGGCACGTGTCCTTCCGAGAGCGAAGGTATATTATACGTGAGTACCAGTGGTCTGAAAATCAAAATGAAATAATTGAAAACCACAAATAGCAAATAAAATAACCAGCACGGTGGAACAAGCCCCCCCCCTTCCCCCTAAGTTCCCGGATTCCATGCACACATCTTATTTGGCAGTGCTTTAACTTATAACCTGCATCTAACTTGTTCGTGAACGCAGTGGACTTTATAAGCTATAAAGCTTTCTCTGTAGACTGCTTTAACTGAGAAGCAAAAAAAGCAAGATTAGCAGTGGTAGAAAGAAGAAGCGTTTATTTAGGCTAGACAACGATAAAAAAAGAGACGTTAATTCTGGGACCCGGCACACGAACAAATAAGCAAGCATCGAGCACAAATTATAAATTTTTGATTTCCGTGAATGAGATACGGTTCTCTTCAGACACCTTTTACAAGATCCTTTGAGTTTTAATAATTTCCTACTTTAAAAATAACGAAAAACTGTTTTCCTAAGTGCAGCTGAAGTCATGAGGATTGGAACGGACTTCTCAGTTCACCTGGATGGGTAAAATATTTCGGCACGCTACGAACGGTAGAGGGCACGACCAATCAAATAATTGCAGAAGTTTTTAAATGCGTGTCAAGAAGAGTGCGACTAAGTAAAGGGCGGTGGTCGATAAGGACACTTAGAGAACATAGTCCTCAACAAATTACTCACTACATGTAACCTGTTTTCCGTTAAAAACGCTCTTAAACCAATCCATTATGGGAGGCTTTTTTTAACATCAGCCATTTCCAAAATCCAACTTAAATGCTGGACAGTACTATTTGAAGAACACTTTATCTGAACGAGGTGTGGAACATCTGTCGCAGAGTGTCTCACATATACTCTCAAGCTCGCGAAGTCGCATGGTCCAAAAATGACATATCTCCTAGGTATGACTGACAACCACGAATGCGCGCATATTTAGGCTAAAGCAACGACATTCTCCAAGATTTGAAGTAGGGAAGTAAAAAGAAGTATTACATATTTCCATATGTTTACGTTCAGGAATGCGTAGTTTTGTGTGCGATAACTGCATCTGTATTTATTCACGCCACTATAATGACGAACGCAACAACAGGCGTACCAAGACCGTCAAAGCGTCAGGTTTAAGCTCCATTTTAGAGGAGATTGACAGAGGAACCAGCAGCATGGCACTATTCCGTGCAGGTTCCTTAGTCGTTAACAAGGCTACCGGCACCCCGATGGAGGTCATGTAAACGGGTGCGCTACGCAAGCACCTAAACTAACTGTGCTACAGGATGATGAAATATCACAGGTGGCTGCCCACACCTCTGAAGCTAGTCACGAGGTCAACTTTACAGCCGCGAAGATATATGCCCATGTCAGAAGCAAGAAAAGCCGTGAATTCATTGTAGTCCGGGAACTCCGCCAATCGATATACCGACTAGGCACCAGCATACGAAGCCCTGCGCAGTCACCGCTGGACACATGCACTGGTTTCTGATTGGGCGATGCTCTCTATAACTGTCGCTTGTTCTGCTCCTGCTGTTCCCTATGGTGATGATGAAAATTCAAGCCCCATCTTTCACAAAAGTGCGCTTTTAAACATCCCCTAGCGATAGTTGGTTCCATTTTCAATTTTCGAACTTAACTGAATTTCATGTTTTTTGGAATGCTTAATGGGGAACAAAGATATTGCCTTGCTTTTTGACAAAAATCGAAAACGGATATTGAAATTTGTGGCTTTACTGTGACATACGAAGACAACTGGAGGAAGAAATATGCCTTGAACGCATAAAGGGGGAACTTTGCACAACTAATGAGCGAGATACTTGACATTAAAGCTGAATCGGTAAGGACGAATATGCGATCCAACTTTGCCTATTGCTTATTACTCCCTACTGATTCTTACGAAAGTAATGATGTTTAATTTTGTACACTGATTAACTTTTTTCAAGATAACATTTTTTCTCTTAACTATCTCATTCAACTTATTTGTCGATTGGCATACACGCTAATTTGGTATACTTTGACTTTGCTGGCCACCTTGGCGGCTGCCCTTTGTGTTCCGCGGTTCCGCATCATTATGTCGTGCCGTTGGGTCAACGTTCCCACTTTACTCTTATGATGTCAACCAACGTCATTCGTCCTTGGGTTTCTATTGGCCATTTCGCTGCCTTGATCTCCGAACCTAACGGTCTTTGTGCAGGCGCTGTATTTAGCAGTGTGTCACTACCGACAAATACAAGGGAGACTGGAATGGCCATTTCTGGCTTATTAGCCGTCGTCAGCCAGTCATACCCAACCCCGAAGTGTGGATCGCCCGAGGCTCGAACTCGCGATCTGTTAGTTAGAAGTCCACGCCTCTAACCACTGGGCCACGAGCCCGTTGCCCTGTCGGTTTCGATTGGGAATATACAATGGTAGAGGGCGCTCACTGATCGTGACCCAGTGGTTAGATGCGTGGACTTCTAGCTAACAGGTCACGAGTACGAGCCTCGGGTGTTCCACAAATCGAGGTTCGTATGACTGGCTGATGACGGCTAATAAGCCAGAAATGGCCATTCCAGTCACCCTTGTCTTTGTCGGTAATGACATACTGCCTATATCATGCGCGACTGTGCGGCTGCTAGTTGGACTCGAGAGAGAGAGCCCGTAAGGCACAACGTAACGGGTGAGTTCCGTAAGAGCGATCGGTGAGCTCCCCCTACCGTTGTATTTTGCTTTCTTAGGTTTTTCGGCATCAAATTTAGCTAGTACTAGCTGGACCCCGCCACGCGTTGCTGTGGCTCTGTTCGATAATTAACCTGCCCCGTCTGCTTTCACAACAGTGTCGACGGACGGGTATGTGACTGCCCCGCTTTGAATCTTGGACTGAATAATGTGGCTAAGATGGTACATGTGTTTGTTTTTGGCCGCAAGAAGCGCTCGTTCGCTCAATCAGCCGGGATTGTTGAAAGCGGTCTGAATAGTGGCAGACACCGTCTCAACCAATTCCTCTTTTGAGGACACTAAATTTCCGAGGCCAAGACGTAGGGAAATCATTCTTGTAGTCGGATCAGCGTGCACCGTTGCATTCCCGATTGCCAGCAATTACTGTGAGAATACCCCGGTGGCTTTGAAGTCACCGATTCGCATTCGTACGGTGCCAAGTTGCCGAAGTCTTCCGCTGATCGTTTTCGGTACAAGGAACTTCTGTCGTTACCGGTAACTGTGGTGCATACGAATGCCCGAGGATATTTCTTAGAGCGTTTTCCGTCTACCATACTGGGGGGTGAGGGGTGGGGGGAGGGAGAATTGGGACTCAGGGCACCGTAAAGTCCATTTATCATATTCTTCGCCGCGACTTCGGGCAAATTAGTGTCGACGTCGGCGTCAGGTAATTCAGCGCATATTGCATCGGCGATTTCGTTGGAAGTGATCTTGTTATACAGTGGGTTGTTATACATGTGGGTTGTGCGTGGGGAGGGGGGAAGGGGGCCTTGTTAACCGCACCCAGTCGTCGCGCCCGAGAATCCCAGCGGAAGCGGCCGCAGCCCAATTATGTGGGTAGTGTGGGGCAAGTTCAAGTGGAGCCCAAGTGTTGCGTTTTTTTGCTGCAGGGTGGGTGGCTTGCCTACCGGCCCAGATTGCATCGCCCCAGAGAGGGTGGAGGGCCTGCTCAAGTGTCTGCTGGGGGTGGGTGGTGGGGTGAGCGCGGCTGTCGGGCAGAGAACGTGCGTTTGAGCGAATGTCGGTCAAGTGGCCGCAGTCTGGCGCACATGTGTCCGCGCAGATGTAGGTCAAGTGGCCGCAGCAGGTGACGTCGTTAGGCCGGAAAAAATCCAGTTTTTTACCCATCACAGTCATACCATCGGCATAATTACACAACTGACCAGCCAAAAACCCGGCCCTATGCGCGGGTCGGGTTGTGTCCAAAGTTCAGCGAAATCGGTGCAGTACTTTCGGAGATTAGATATAACACAGAAAAAAAACCCTTCCATTTTTATATATATAGATTAGATTTTCGGGCCGTTTTCAAGGTCATGTGCGGATATCTTTGAACCTATTCACGGAATGAGAACATTTTTCCAAGCCTTCGTCCGTTCTCACCGCTCTCTTTCCCATCCAGTAGTCCTACTCATATAACCCCTATTTCCACCGGCCATGTAAGTCATTATGACCTACCCTCCGCATTCTGGTCGGGGTCGCATATTGCGCCATTGCGGCTGAATCTCCCATAGGAGTACATTTGTAGGCACCCTCCGATGGTAGTCGGTTTCATTTTGGCTATGTGTGGGCCATATTCCCGTATTTTTCGATTTTTGAACTTGACTGTATTCCAAATTTGTTGGAATGTTCTGCAGAAACGAGGCATCAACCTTGTTTTTTAAAGGCAACAGCAGAAGCAGTCGCCATTAGATCACGAAAATCGGTCTTGTGCACACAGAAGAACCGCGTCCGGGCTCGCACATACCGCGGTCAAAGGTCGACTAACTATGCAGCTCCCACTCTCATCCAGTCCCCGTCACTGTCTGTTATTACCTCCCTCTCCCTGCTCCCATATTCCCACAACCCGCCTGTGCTTTACGACGAACTTTAATCGATTTCTATAATCACTGGTGTGTTTTTCGGTACTGGCCTGACGAGGATTTATCAAGAGCAAACGTATACTCGCAAGCTGGTCTTCCAGGAATGGCAAATACGGGTAGTGAAATTCGTGACATTGCTGCAGCTTACGAAATGTGCCTTCAGCATACAAGAGGGGACGCAAGCGGGATATTGGACATTTTGCTATACATGTGATTGGCTGGCTCCGAATCTGATTAGACCGGCGTTTAATCGCGGGGCTGCTTGCATGTGTCGCCAACAAGCAAATTTAACTTTCGCTCGGAATGTACCAGTTAAAGTAGCCGGAACCCAGACGAGAAGTTGACGGTGGGCGTTGCCAGAACCTTTGCAGGAGTAATCTGATGAGTTTAATCTATCCCCATCTAAAGCGCTGGCGCCAAAAACCAGAGAAGCAGCAGACACAAAGTCCCCTTTTCCATCTCTAACTTCACGAAACATGTGTATGGATACTGCGAGGCGTTTTTTGATAATCACCAGTGTATGGTGCCTATCCGTTTGGAAGCATCTAAATCACGATGCCTAGTCCTGGACCGATAATCTGTGTTGTTGCAAGATGAGAGACCACGCCCACATTGTTCCATCGTCTGCCAGCCACCGTTTGTTCCCTGGTACGCACCTCATAATCCTTATATATCCTTGTGTAAGGCAGAAGTTAGCCAAAGCTAATTGCCATTTGCACAATAACACCTGCGTTCAGACAATGCGTCAAGAGAACTTACAGTGTGTTATAGGCGGAGTGGCTTTACCGACAAGGACAAGGCGGTGATGCTATTCCGCCTATATCACGCGCTGCTGTGCGGCTGCTGGTGGGGCTCCAGAAAGAGAGATTCCCAAGGCACAAACGAGACGAGTGAGTTCCGTAGCGCGATCGGTGAGCGCTCTATTACTATTACAGCGCGTTAGCTTACTGACGGCGAAATTTAAGAATGACTGCTAATCAACCGCCAAACGACACCAATACGTGGACCCAACATCTTTGTTAACAAATAGCATAAAAGATATGCTAAAGGCAATGTAAGCTTGTTAAGAAATATAAAATTTTTCAGAAAAACGGAAAACCCCGAAACCGTCAAAATGGTTGCAGTTGTGTAAACTTTAGTCTTCGATGAACAGGAATCCAGTCCACGCAAAAAACTAAGTAAATATGACAGTCAACAGAGATTGCTCACTAAAAGGATCTTTTGGTGAAGTTAACACTCAAATATCTTCTCAGAATTAGTGTACAGTAGATGGGCTAACTCATGAAATGTCCACCGAAATTCCGAAATGCGATTTCGCTCTGAAAAGACTAATTAAGCAGGGTTGTAAAAATAATCATCGTGCAGCATAATTTTATAATAATTCAGTTATCTAAGATGCCGGATTTCTAACGAACTCCTTTCCGGCTGCATGTAAAAGGTATACCCTGCAAAATTGAACTCTTAAGTTGCATGCGTTTTTCTCATTGGTTTTCGATGCCTTTAAATATTCAACCCTTTTTACGGAAAACATGCATACAATATTCATGCTTTTGCTCATTCGGTAGAAAATTAGGTCTTCTTCCAATTATATACTCGAAGGAAGGGTATAACTTGGATTTCAGAAACTTTTTCTAATTCCCGAATAATTCTGAACCCCGACCTGCCGTTTCACTTGCATTCAGGGTTTCCAAAATACAAGCCACATATTTTCCGCGTACGGAAAGCCATACTTTCCTCTACGGTATAAAGAGGAGACCGTATGGGGTTAATACAGTTTAGCAGTGTATATGAGCCACACTGGTAAATGCATAGATATGACGTTTTATGAACAGCCATTTAACGATTTTAAAAAATCTCACATTTAGACATTTTTTTAAAACCGAATTATACCCCTCCCTTGCGTATCAAATTCAAAGAAGACGCCATTTTCTACCGAATGAGCAAAAGAATGAATATTTTTGCGCATGTTTTTCATGAAATATAATTGAATTTTTAAAGGTATCGAAAATCAATGAGGGAAGTGCATGCTAGTTAAGTAGTCATTTTTTACACCGTATCGTTTTTACATGTAGCCGGGAAGAAGTTTGTTCGAAATCCAGCATCATGAGGTAACTGAATTATTATAGAATTATGCTGCATGACGATTAGTTTTACAGCCCTGCTTAATTAGTCTTTCCAAAGCTAAACCGCATTTCGGAATTTTGGTCGACATCTCATGAGTTAGCCCATCCACTGTAATTCCAGGTATAGCAGTTTGCCAACACCTGGCATTTTGAGTATAGGTCTCAATACGGTTTCTCGAGGATTCGTGGTAATCTTTACGTACTTGAATTGACTAAGATGCGGTTTAATAAGGCAAACAGGATTTTACATAATTTGGCCTATACAGACGCCATACGAACAAAAGATTTCACAAGGGTACCTGCTGCCAGGCGGGTCGGCGACTGATAAATTTAGATAGAATTGGCAAGTGCAAACATGCGCGGATATCTTTGAACCCTTTCACCTGTAACTCGAGCTTTCGCCTTCGCATGCCATTTTTTTGTATATAACGAGACCTTTTCTTCCGTGCAATTAATTCCTACTTTTCCTTTATCCCGGATCGACTGGACGGCATTGAATAAAGAGCGTCCGAGATTTACTTTCCAATTTCTGACATCTGGCCAATGTCTTGATTAATCTTTCCTTTCAAGTGGCTTCTGAATAGGAAAGCAGATTAGATCTCAAGTCCTCAGAGCTGGACATGAAAGTATGCACCAACCTCTCCCCCACCCTTAGCACTTTGTCATACGACTATCTCTAGTTCGGGAATGGTGGTGAAGGGGGCTATAAGGGTGGGGCCTTTTAAAGCAATAGCAAGCTAGAAAACCATAATTGGGCCACTTTCCTACTTTAATGTATTAAACACTCTGAATTCAACCCTGTAACACATAAGTAGTCTGTAGAAACTGCGAGGTCTTATAAAGATGAGGACCACTCATTTTCGGCAACGACCAGGCATAAGGCACGGAAATAGGAACATGTGCCCTCGTAATGCAGATGGTCCTGCGTTGAATTCCTGGAAGGTTATAAATTACGAATGAAGGCGAAAGTTCAAATTCCAGATGCATGTACAAGTGAAGAAGAAGGGTGGTCGACCACAGAAACATTCCGTTTATTATTTTGAGCTTACGAACTGGGGCAGGAGTCTATCGTCAGAGCAACAGCAGAACAGGCGACAGTTGTAGGGCGTGTTAGCCAATCACCGACCGACGGCGCAAGACTGGAGATGACTGCACAGGGCTCTGTACGCCGGCGCCTGATCGATGAATCCACTGACTGAGTTCTCATCAGAGGCCCAGGCTTCAATCAATTCGCGGGCTGTTTTGTTTTCGGGGGTGGGGGCGACTATTTCAGTGGCTGCAGAGTTAAACGCATGGCCCATTTCGTAGGTGTGGGCGGCCACGTGTAGTAATGCGTCGCCTCGTCGCATAGCCAGCTCCTGTTCGTGTATGCGCGATCCGAGCTTGCTTTCAGTCTGGGCTTTGTGGTTACAAGGACAGTTTTGGCACAGGATGCGATAAACCGCTCCAGATTGCTCATCAGACCTTAACTGGTCTTTAATTTTGCATGACTTTACTACGGTAAGGGGTAGGATCAAGTTAAGGATTAGGTTTAAGGTTAGGTCTAAAATTTACGGCAAAGAAAGTCAGAATCAAGTTCTGAGTTAAGAGAGGGTCTAGTGTTAACTGTAGGTTCACGCCTGGAGGGGGGTTAGGGTCAGGATTAGGACAACAGTTTAGTTTTATATTAGGATTATGGTTATGGTTACGGCACGGGAACATGTTGCCCTTTCTATAATTATACACAGGTCCACCCTTATTATTTAGGCGGGGAGTTTCTATTTCATGGTACTGTTTAAACACTCACATATGTCGGTCCCGCAGTCATAACTTGTGGGGATAGGAGAGGACTCACGTGTAGAAGACGGGGAAGGCGATGAAGGAGGTCGAGTAATCAGCGATAGTACAAAATCTGCCTTTTCGTGTCACAATGAAGGACAGCAGGGATTGCTCCTGATGCAACAGTTTCCCAAGGCACTCATGGATGTCGGCCACTAGAAATTCCCCTTTGACCTGGGCGGAATAAATCCGATAAGTGTAAAAAGTGAAGTTTGTGGTAGCAAGGTCCAAACAGAATCATTGCGACATCAAATCGGAAAAAAATAGTGGGTTGGGAGGGAGAACTATAAGCACCTAATGTCTTGGTGAACTATTGGTCGAGGATGGTTTGCATGTTCTCCCGCCCGTGCCGGGGCGCCGAGATAAGAACACTCCCTTCCGTAATTCAGGCGAACTTGCGACCTTCTCCCATGTCCTAATCCTAACCTTAACTCTGATAATACCCTCATCCTAAACTCAACCTTAACCTCAAGCCTAACCCTAACAATAATTTTGCTGGAGTTTAGCTCAAATCCACCAATATTACCGAGCGTTCCTATTCCCACGTGCTGCCGGGGCATATAAGCAGTCCTTACCGATCATTGTTCAACCTTGGACTCGACAGTCGGACATACAAGAATGCTGAAGGATAAACCGAACACGGCTCAGGAAAGTGGCGTCCGACGACACACGCTAGTTGAAAGACGTATGCGCCCAGCCTCGACAGCAAAAGAACGTATAAACGGACAGGCTGTTCTGATACAGTCTGTAATTGTAATAAATGGAGCTTTTCTGATCGGATGCTGGGGAAAATAAGTAAAACCGCCCAGTCGGAAATTGTGTGTAACCGGGCAGATGAGGCAATACTAATTGTTCGCGTGGCTGTGAATCGAGGAGTTATTGACTGCTAACGGTAGAACAATGAGCGGGAATTCGACGGGTGGACGGTTTCACGTAGCCAGGCGAGGTGAATTTTCTGACCTTCGAGTTCTAGCGCTTCCTTCCGGTCTGTCGTTAGAAGTGTGGTAAGGACAACGACGCCATTAGTAGAACCTTGAAATTAAGGAGTTACGTCCGCACGAGAATGCCTACTGGTCACCAGCGCTTACACGAAATCCGTCAGCGCTCATGGGATGCTGGTTCGCGCGTGGCTGTCGGCCTCAGTCCGATATAAAACCTCAATTATCTTGAGATCCTCCCTCCATCGCCTTTTGCTACCCAGGCCGGCGGGTGTTCCGCAGTCCCACTTTGTAGGCGTCATGTCGTTCCACCGAGATTTCCGACTCCACTTGAGCAGGCGAATAGATACAGTAGGTGGGGTAACTCATGAAATGTCGACCGAAATTCCAAAATGCGTTCTCGTTTCAAAGAAGATTAATTAATAGGGTTCTAAAACTAATCATCATACTGCATTATTCTATAATGAACCAGTTACCGAAGGGTACCGGCTTTCAAATGAACTAATTTCCGACTGCGTGCAAGAACTGTACTCTGCAAAAATGACTACTGAAGTAGCATGAATTTTTCTCATTGATTTTAGATACCCTTGAATATTCAATTATATTTCATGGAAAAAATGCATCGAAATATTTATTTCTTTACTTCTTCGGTAGAAAATCACGTCGACTTCCAATTTTATACTCGGAAGAAGAGTATAATTCGGTTTTTCAAGACTTTTCTAATTCCCGAATAATTTCGAAACCGACCTGCTGTTGTACTTGCATTCAGGGTTTCAAAATTATAAGCCGTATATTTTCCGTGTGCGGAAAACCATACATTCCTCTACGGTATTAAGAGGAGACAATATGGTGTTCATAAAATTTAGCATTGGATTTGATTCATACTATTAAATTTACAAGCCACATTGGTAAATGCAGATACATGACGCTTTATGAACGTCAATTTCACGGTAGTAAAAAATCTCACAATTAGAAACCTTCTTGAAACCCAATAATACTCCTCTTTCGAGTATAAAATTGAAAGAAGATGTTATTTCTTCCGAATAAATAAAAGAATGAATGTGTTTGTGCATTTTGTTCATGGAATGTAATTGAACTCTTAAGGTCATAAAAAATTAGCGAGAAAATTGCATGCCACTTAAGTAGTCATTTTTTGCAGTGGGAAATAAGTTCGTTCGAAAGAAGACACTCTGATGTAACTGGATTATTATCGAATTATGCTGGACGATGATTAGTTTTGCAACCACGCTTAATTAATCTTTATGCTACGAAAGCGCATTTCGGAGTTTCGGTTGATATTTCATGAATTTGCCCACCTTCTAAACATGTGCATGAAGGTTATTCCTAAAGATCGGTTATCCTTGCCTCCTGTCGAAAGAAGGTGCGGGGTTTACGAATAAAATGCCAGGAGTGTCGAAAGCAGAAACGTCCTGTCAAATGTTGTTACGTTCCGAACAGTGGATGAGAGACAGAGAGAGAGAAGGAAGTCGAGGTTCAGGAATAACCTCTTTATTCTGCCAACCCGAGTAACATGATGAGTAATTTGCTATAACTCGCATTATTTGCTCGACTACTTACTGTTCTAGAACATTTTGGCCTCTGCCGTGCTGGCATTGGATTGGCTTTTTCTTGGATGAGATCCCCTCGTGGAAAAATCTGGAATGTCATTGATTTTGCCGGCCGCGCGAACAAAAGTATCACGCTTGCTCGAAGATGCACCCACGCGCCGACTGGCTGGCTGATTTCATGCCTACTGCGCCGTGCCGAACCGTGTATTCTGAACGGCCCACATAGTGACTCCATTCGATTTCTGCCCTCCAACTCACTTGTCAATTGCCTGCAGTGATCTCCAGGTGGTTTACCATAAAAGTGGTCGAATGAACACGCCGTGTCTGCAGGGGGACTTTCCTATGCTCGTCAGTTTTTCCATTAGGGACATCCGAAGATCATAGTCCTCCTCAGGTGGCTAAGTACCCCACCCAGTGCGATTATTCCAGCCCCACCATCTAGCATCAGGTCACGGCGCTTTGGTCTTTCAATCAACTCATGCAAGTGCTGGTTGATAGTTGATGTTAGTGAGTGAACGTAGATGACAGAGGTGTTGGTGAAGTACCCTCTCAGTCGTGGATGGGGCAGCCGCTCGTGGACTCTCCCACGCAAACACTGCATGCTTCGTTTGATGTAAGAGTACGATCTCCACACCCCTAAAATGAGTCGCCGGTTACTTTGTCCGCTAGAGCCCCTCTAAGTTTACTATTTACTTCCCACAGTTTATCATCCAAGCCCGTGTCCCCTCATTATAGCAAAGATATTCTCGAAACACCTAAAATGAAACTGAACACTATTCATGGTCTCGTACGTTCTGCAGCCTTCTAGCTTCCCTCCGAAATATGCCCATTAGAAGGGATTTGAGGTCTATCCCGTAGCGACGCTGGCGGTTTGTCTGCATACCTGTCCAAAGAATTCCCAAATAATAGCTTTCTCAGTACAGTGCGTGACCTATCTCATGAAATGTTGGCCGAAATTCTGAAATGCGTTCTCGATTAGGAAGGATTACTTGGTCGCGGTTGTGATACTGATTATCTTAAGGCATACTCTTATAACATTTTGGACTCGGCAGGATGTCGGCTTTTAAATGCACTTCTTTTCAATCTCCTGTAGAAACCGTACTTGGTAAAAAATGACTACTTAAGTAGCATGCATTTTTCCCATTGATTTTCGATGGTCTTGGAAATTCAAATATATTTTATAGAAACCACAAACGAAAATATGCGTTCTTTTAGTCACTCAATAGAGAATCACGTCTTCTTTATATTTTATACTTAAGGAAGAAGTATAATTAGGTTTTAACAAAGTTTTCTAATTGCCGAAAAATTTGGAGCCTGATCATTCGTTGCATTAGCGCTAAGTGATTTCACTCAACAAGGTGCATGCGTTCCGCGTAAAGAAAATCCCATATTTTTCTATGTCGTTAAAGAGATATCATACAGGGTCCATAAAATTTTGCAATGGATGCGGACCATGCTGTACATTTCATAAGGAGCAGTGGTAAACGTCCAGGTACGATGCTATGTGAATGGACATATAGCGGTCTTAAAAAGTCTCATAATTAGAAACTTTTTTAAAGCCTAATTATACTCCTTCCTTAGATATAAAATATAAAGAAGACGTGATTCTCTATTGATTGACTAAAAGAAAGCATATTTTTGTTTGTGGTTTCTATAAAATATATTTGAATTTCCAAGACCATCGAAAATAAATGGAAAAAATGCATGCTACTTAAGTAGTCATTTTTTACCGAGCACGCTTTCTAAGGAGATTGAAAAGAAGTGCATTTAAAAGCCGACATCCTGCCGAGTCCAAAATGTTATAAGAGTATGCCTTACGATAATCATTATCACAATCGCGACCAAGTAATCCTTCCTAATCGAGAACGCATTTCAGAATTTCAGCCAACATTTCATGAGATAGGTCACGCACTGTAGTTTTGGGAGGAATGACAATAGACAATAGACAGTCGTTTAGGGGGTCAGATGGGGTTATGTAGCCGCACCTGAGGTTGGCAAACCCCAGCCACCTCCTATTCAGGACCGGTGGTAATAGGGCTTTTTACAGGTGGGACCGGTGAACGCACAGGCAACGAGGTCAAGTAATTATATGCAAAAGAAAAGCTATTGGGAATGCGCGGTTGTACTTTGAGTGGTTGAGAAATAGTCGCCCTAATCCCTAACCCTAACGCCTAATCCCTATCCGTAATCCTAGCCCTAATCCATAAGAGTATTGTGTCTATCAGGTGCAACTGCATAATTACATCTTATGACATATTCTATTAACATCCAAAATAAAACTGAACACTATCCATGTTTCTGTCCATTCTCCCGCCTTCTAGCTTATTTCGGTAGCCTAAATAGTCTAAATGCGCTCGTATAAATAGATCACATGCGGTCAAATTATGTTAAACTTCATACATCTACCCATCACTTTAAAGGATCTGTTAAGTTCCTTTTAATAATCTCCGTCCAGTCGTTTTTTCTATTTATTTTATTGTATTCGTGCAGACTCATTTTCCTGTCATCAGCTGACTTCACCGTAAGTTATAGCTTTAGTGGAATAAAACTCTATATTCTACTTATTGTTTATTTGAGATCACATGGTTGCACCAGCCACAGAGTAAAAACGATTGCTGACTATCTTTTGAAGCCCCAGACTACAGCAAGTGGCGTAATTCATGAAACGTGATGACGCAAGTGTGGGGACGCATAAAGCGTTGTCCAGTTAACGTATTCACCTACCCATTCCTGACTATGTCCTATTCTCATGCGGAATGTATGTAGAATCAGTTTTATCAGGGAAGACGTCTACAAATCTGAGCAGAAATCAGCGGCTCCTGGGATTAAGGCAATTTCTTAGGTTAACAGCAGTTCTAGAACAAGTTTTCGCACCCGTAAGTGCCTTTCTACGAAAGAAGAGTATTCTTAAACTAGAGAGTCTTACCAAACCAACTGTTATTCATAGCCAGCGTAATATTACTTCTAAAAGATCTGTTAGATTTATATTTCACATAACGTCGTTAATTGCTAGTTAGGGAGTTTTTGTCGGAGAACTTTGACCCGGTTTCAGAGTGAATAGAGCTTCCTCGTAAATCTACGCATATGTTTTGACATACGCCATCTACTGTTCTTTCTTGAACTCCGGTGCCAGAAACGCGCCTGAGTGAGAGGAGCCACAGATAGACGCATAATTAGCTCTTCCTCTCCCTTTTGTATCCTACTTAATATGAACTCTTAAGCTACCTAAGACTATCCAAGTTGAATTTTGCCTAAAGGAAGGAAAAAGGTTTGATAGGCGTTTGCGAAACTAATAACTTCGATCAGGTAGGCCCTAGGCTTCACAGTCAGTGGCTGAAACAGGTCAATTACACTGGCTTCGCAGAATTACTAAACATTATTATTACTAAACATTCGTAATTTCGGCTCTAGCTGCTGCCCTGCTACCTTCTCCAGCATTTGTAAACTAGAAGAGGGAATGGGACTTTATGTCAGTTTCAGTTAGAAGCAAGAAAGTTTTGGGTAAACCTAATTGACAATAAACACCCGATGTCTTTATGTAATTAGCTGTGCGTACAGGACAGCACAAAATATTTCCAAAATCTGTACATTCATAACATAAAACAGTCTACGCTGATTTAAATGTATAGTAAAAACACCTCATTACTTGTGTACGACAGTTTTAAATAAAATATCTATAAGGAAAGCTAATAATAGTACCAAAAGGGGCTAGAAGGTGAGGTTTCTGGACTGCCATTCTTACTCTTTGCCTTGCTTATCAGCAATTAAAGCAAATGCACTTATTATTATTATTTTATTCAATTTTACGTATAGGCTGTAAACAGCTGAAGTCACTTTCCAGTTGGTGTGAATGAATGAGCCTTGTTGTGCAAGTTTTGGAAAATATAAATTAGGCAATGCTTATTAGTCAGTTTACGGTGAATACTGGTTGCGAATTATAAATGTGACCGAAAAAGTACTTACTAGGATATCTTTTTCGTGACGCCTGGTGTATTCCTGAAATAGGTCACTGTAGACCGACTTTGCAACAGGACTGCCTCCGGCGTATAGGAATAGCTCTTGACACGAGGTCTCAGTTAATAGAAAGCACCCCAGTATAATGGAGCGCAGGTAGGTGAGTAAAATATTGGAGCTCATGACTGAGTGATAGGCCGTGAGCCCTAGTCCGTGAATACTACTCTGAACTTCGCAAAATGCAAATATAAAGACTACTGACCTAATTGGCTCGCATTAACCAATGACAATTCTGCTACTTCAGGGATGAAAATCCGTTCTGATGAGATGATAGCAAGCAACAGCTGGAATCACTGAGCAATCGCTCAGACTAAACACAGACGTTTTGCACTGGCATACAACTCAAAATTAAAAATGTTAGCCTGTTACTGAAGTCATTTTTCTTTAAAAACTCTGTCAGCTTCAAATGACCACATGGCAGGGAGCGATTCTGATTATGCTTTTTTCGGCACAGATTAGAGCAAATAAAATGAGCCCGCCTGGAAAGAGGAAAAAATATCTTATAAGCGAGGGAGAGAAGGGGAAGGCAGGATAAAGAAACAGCAATGCACTGTTTTAAAGAGGAATCTTGGTCTAGATCGTTGGCGAAACCGAGCTTGAAAGGCTCGAATGATAAGAAAAATTGATTTTGAAAACATACAGTATCGTCGAAAAGTGACGACGAAATCTAGAGGGAGGTCGAAAAAGTTGGGTCCTGTCCCATCTTTAATATGCACACTTAAATTGGACGGGTGAGACCTGCGTAATTATCACAAACAAACACGACAGTTCCACCGTCGATTCCGACGATGTCCACCGTGTGCTCCACAGCAAAGTGCAGCAGACACAGTGACTTGCGTGTGAGTTAGTTTATAGTGAATACGGACTTGCGCAGCAACCGCTTCACTCTCTCTCTCTCTCTCTCCCAATCCCCACCTGTACCCGGTGTCAAGACAGAGTCAAGAAGACCGGAGGCAGGGGAGAGCGCAGGTGGATGGCACGGTCGGGCCCGCACCTTGGCGCCCCACTCCACACTCCCTGATCCACACATCAATTGACCAGGTTTTTGACCAACAACAACAACAATGGGTGTTGGCAGGAGTCCCAGTGTGCGCGACGTCTGCCGGCAACCGGGTCTGTCACCGCATCCCCCGAATTGTCGGCATTTGTTGCGGTGCGCGAATCAGATAACACCTGCCAGAATCCGATATGGCCCCCGTGTTTGTCCAGCGCATATGCCACGTGACCCGTTTGGGGGCGCATACACACTTATTTCATCAGTAATTATTGCACATAGATTACTGATTGTGATCCAGCACTCTTGAAAATATCAAGTGGGATTTAATTCTAATCTTAGAGTCAAATGAGGGACGAAACGAATAGCTCACAGGGTAATTATTCCATTCTGAAATTTGTCGAAAAGGTGTCCCATTTTATGACAAAATGCAAACTTCAGACGGCTATAGCTGGAAAGTGAATGTGTAGAACGGATTTGACAAGCCTAGAGAAGTGGATTTTAAATCGGACCAGATTAGATTTAATTCCAGTGAGAAGCGATTTACAGGATACCTCTATTTCAGTTAAAGATAACTTCTTATTAGACAAAATAACGGTTCTTTTCTAGAACTGATTTGAAGGCCATTGAAAATAGCAAACCGGACGTAATAAAATGGGATGAGTTTAATGAAACGTAAAAGTGCACTGTTGCGCTCCAAGCCACAGGCATATGAGAGGCTTTAATTGTCACTAGCCTTCGTAGTGAATGTGAGACAGATACTGCGCACATTGTAACCTGTTCGTATTCTATTATAAACACATACCTTTCTCATCAATAGTAGTGAAAATCCGATTCCCAGGTGGCATATCAAAAGAAGAGTGGGCGTTCACCGGGAGGGGTTTATTTGAGATCCGACGTTTCGGGTAGTTTACTCGTCTACCCATCTTCAGGGACTGAGAGGTCCTGTGCACAGCACTCCTTATTATGGCGCCCTTTGTCCAATGCGTGATCCGCCAATGCCGCCTGTGTGGCTGCATCCAACCCGCATGTCACCGTGACCTGAATCGCCCCCGTCGGCCGCGGTGATGACTGACGGCCCCGATTGTCCCGCGCCGTGACTGTCCCCCGCTAAGAAGGTTCGTAAAGTCAGATAAGGGGGAGGCAAATTGATGTGGCGGTTGACAGAGCGGTCGGTGGACATCCAGGCTTCTTGCACTTGCCTTGCTGTGTGATCGCCGCCCCGGCCCACAATCTCAACGGCGTCAAAGTTGAAGATGTGTCCCATTTGCGCGGCATGGGTTGCTACCTCCGACTTTGGGTCCAACCTTCGCACGGCCAACTTATGCTCGTGCATTCGCGTTTGCAGCCGTCGGCCGGTTTCCCCAACGTAGTCGCAACTTCCGCAGCTGCATTGGAGTCGGTAGACAACGGCCGACATCTCCTGCTTAGGGATCGGATCTTTCGGCCGCATCACTTGCCGGCGGATTGTTGAGTCAGGCCTGTGGGCAACACCTAGTCCGAGTGGCGCGAGTGATCGAGCCACGACTTCGGGGCGGCGATCACACAGCAAGGCAAGTGCAAGAAGCCTGGATGTCCACCGACCGCTCTGTCAACCGCCACATAAATTTGCCTCCCCCTTATCTGACTTTACGAACCTTCTTAGCGGGGGACAGTCACGGCGCGGGACAATCGGGGCCGTCAGTCATCACCGCGGCCGACGGGGGCGATTCAGGTCACGGTGACATGCGGGTTGGATGCAGCCACACAGGCGGCATTGGCGGATCACGCATTGGACAAAGGGCGCCATAATAAGGAGTGCTGTGCACAGGACCTCTCAGTCCCTGAAGATGGGTAGACGAGTAAACTACCCGAAACGTCGGATCTCAAATAAACCCATCCCGGTGAACGCCCACTCTTCTTTTGACATACCTTTCTACTTTAATCCAATAAGTAGGCGTGGCGGTTGCGTGTAACATCTCGTTCCCTCACTGTGCTTGGCGTGTTTGGTCGTGCCAGCCCTAATGAGTACTAAAGATGACTAGAAGGTCTCGCAAGAACCGCCTTTTTAGTTTACCCCAAAACGTCTGGGATGTATTTCAACAAGACAGTGGAAAACTGTCAAAGTGGCTGCTTTCCTTATGAAAAGGTCTCTTTTACCCTACATCCGGGAGAGAAAAGTAGAACACAAATGGATATGTGAAGAAGAAGAGTCGAGCACCGGTGCTGGATGCCAAACTATGCCTTCTTCGTCTTCTTTTTAACAACAAATCGCACTATCAATTTTGGAACCGGTAGAAAGCATCACAGCGTGTGACTTTTGTCTTCAAATGCACCGATTTGTTTCGAGTCGACTACTTTCGTCTGTGGTAGTAATTGACTGAATTAGTCCGAAGCACCTGCTATCTCGGTATCCTTCTTCTTACCGACTTACGTTCTAAGACTGTCCAAATAGTCAGCCCGTAAAGCGACGGATGTTCGCCTATTCACTATCCCTGCGACTTTACCAAAGAGGTAGCCTTCCCTTTGGACCCAATTAGACCACCATACACCCTTACCAGAACTAGAAATGTTGGTATTTTATAAAATTCATCCAGCGTTTACTTTAGATAACGAAATCTAAATACACAACGCTGCCTCCGAGTACTTTTTGTGGTTTCGGTAGGTTTACAACAGCACAATTCGAAATCATGAGTTTAAGTTGGCATATCATTAAATGAACCTCGTCTCTACCTTTAATGAGTGGCCGACCTCATGGAATGTGGACCAAAATTTTAAAATTTGTTTTCGATTTGGAAGAATTATTTGGTAAGGTTATAATACTGATTACCATGCGGCAGAATTTTATAATATTTAGGACTTGCCAGGATATCGGTTTTTGAATGCACGTCTTCTCGACCTCCTACAGAAACTGCACTCGGTAAAAGACTACTACTTAACCAACATGCATCTTTCACTATGATTTTCGATGGTTTCATAAATATATCTTATAGAAAACGCAAAAATATGTTTTCGTTTACCCGTTCAGCATAAAAGCACGTTGTCTTCACATAATATACCCAAAGAAAGGATTTGAAAAGAGGAATAATTATAAAGGCGTGGCAACTACTTTTCAATCATGGGAATAAATCGCAACAAGAAAACCTGCCTTTAGAATAAAATTGCGGTAGGGGTTAAGAATATGTTCGGGGTAAGAAAGTGCTAAAACATGTTTTCAGTTGACATGCTTGACCGGCAGGAAATAAGCACAATCAATTCAACGAATCTTAACGTACTCCTCAAGGTCTTTGAGTATATGTCCTACTAGCCAAATGGGGTGTAGGGGTGTCAGCGGTGGGTTCACGTAATGGTCGTGGTGGTCGCTCACTTGCTTGCAGGTGAGACTGCGCCTAGCGTCCACTTGCTGGCACTCAACTCTCACCTGTGGCTCCACGTAGCTGGGCTCTGCTCAGCGGCCACACCCCGGGCAACCGTCTCGACCGGCGGGCTAAACCAGGTGAGGGGGCCCTGTGCGCTGTGCCGTGTGCACAGGGTTTGCGGATTCCGCTGGATGGAAGGTCGGATGGAACCTTGCGTCGGCACCGTCGTGACGTGGTTCGTCTCTGCACGTCGCTCGACAGCCGGTGACGGGATGGATCTCCACATCGACACCGCCTTGACGCGCCCACCTTCGCCGACGGAGACCGCGGCTTACGGCGAATTCGAGTCGCTCTCCACTACAACCCGAAGTCGTGGTCCCATAGTGGAGTTCGGCCGTGCCACAACGGCACATGGCAGCCCTATTCAGGGATGGCACTGCCAGCCCCCACGAGGGGAAGGGCCTAGAAAAGGTGGCCTAAACATTGCTGGGTACCACGCCGTCTCCAGGCTAGCCAGGGCCGCAGACGTCTAAACATGGTCGAAACAATCAAAATCGAAACAACAACAATAGCAATAACAACAACCATACTCATTCTCCTCATCCTACCTCTTCTTCCTCTACCTCCGTCTATTCTTCTGCCTATTCTTCTCCTTCGTCATCTTCTTCTCCATCTCCTTCCCGTCGCCCCACTCGTTGTCACCAGACTGGCAGGGTGAGCGCGCTCACTCTGGCAGCCTGGAATGTTCGTTCCCTTTTAGACAATCCGAGGAGCAACCGACCGGAGCGGAG